CTGAAACAAGCTGTATCTCCTATTTCACAAGCCCAACCCCTAACTGCAGCCTTATCAGAGGAGTGGGAACTACAAACCGAGCCGGAAGAAATCTTACAGTGCAGACAGAATTCGATAGGGTAAATTGAGGTGCTGGTCAAGTGGAAATCTCTGCCATCTTTTGAAAACACATGGGAGGAGTTTGGCAGTCTCAATAATCAGTTTCCTGACTTCCTCCTTGAGGACAAGGTGGTTAAATTGGGGGGGAGTATTGTCACTAACTTGCCACGTAATAAGTTTGGGCAGGTGTACCTAAGGAGGAAGGGGAATAAAAGTAGAGAATCTCAGATCATAAATAATTGTGCTGAGTCAGCAAGGGAAAAGGAAGGCAATTTGATTGAGGAGGTCATGCAGGGTACAAGGGAGGGGCTGTTATTAGTGGAGAGTGAGGAAATGGAAGGATCATTCTGGAATCTTAGTAAATTGGGACTTGGAAAATTGGGAGGGAACCAGAGCCTCTCCTAAAAGCTCCGGGTTGTAGTCATCTTACTGTCTTTCTTTGTTACTTGAAATACCATTTACATTTTCGCTTGTCATTTTGAATTGTAAACACTCATAACTACTGTAAACCTTGCTCAAATCTTAAAACAGGGTTGTCATTGGAATTTCCTATTTCCTTGAGTTCTGGTTTAACTGTTACAGATGGCCTCATTTAAAAGTTTGTATGAAATTCTATTCTATGACGGTAGGTTCTGTGTTTAGATTTTGCTTAGGGGGTATGAAGTGAATAATTCAGCTTCTGTCTGTGTTCTTCCATGCTTGTACCTTATGATGAGTTTGATACATATTGAAAGACAGGACAATAAGAATAATACCGCAGTAGTGGTTAAGTCATAGAACGATTTTGTGTTTTGTTAGCTATTTGATGACCAATGCAAAGGACTGAATTTTTTGTGATATCCATGGATAGAATGCAAAATTTATTATAATACCCTGTGAGGTGTATTATTAATAGAGCTGGGATAATGAAGGGGTAGAGATTATTTATTTATTTTCCCCTCTTTTTGTACTGCGGACAAAATTTTGTAACTTGATTTAGTGGGTAACAAAAATTTAAAGATTTGTTCTGTCCCTTGAGTTATTTTTGTCCCGTACTTATTCTTTTTTAACAATCAAAGTACACTTTTTTTTTGTGCTCTGTTCGGTTTCTTAATTTTTAGTAAATCAAATGCGTCCTATATGACAGTAGACTTGGATGAGTAAAATATTTTTGTTCTTGCCTCTAATTGTTAATTATTGTTAGCTAATTATTAAAAGAAAAAAATGTTTGGCCTTTTAAAGGGCAGTCATTTTAGTAAAAACAAGTGTTTTTTATTTAATATTTAAATTAAAAAAAAACTCTCACTTTCTCCTATCATGATTTTTGTTTGTCACCATAAAACACAATTGTTTTGACTAAAATGACATAATTTCTGATATCAAAAAAAAAAAAAAATGACATAATTTTATATTCTTTAAAAGGATAAACACTAATCCCTTATAAAAATCACTGTTTACCTTGTGATTTGCTGTTCTCTTGTGTAATGTTTGCTGATTATCTACTAGTATAGAGAATCTAAAAGGCTAAAACCACCTACATAGGGAAAACAAGTTTATCGTTTGGTTTTAGCTTTTGGGTCTAATATTCTGTTTGATTACATTAATAACTATCAGGAGTGAGTTTGTTCTGATTAAATTAATGCAACTAATTACATTTTATTCTCTGGAAAACTTGCTTTTGGTAGTGTGGGTTGCTGGGCTCACTCTTTAACATTGTGTATAACCACCACGACTGAAACATGTTTCTGTAAATAATGCCTGAAGCCCTGAACAATGAACATAGAATGACAACTTCTACTTGCACACTAATTTGATGACTAAGCTCTGTTTTATTAATTATCTATTGATTTGGTGGAGTTAGACCCTTTGAGACTCGTGCATGAGTAGCATTGACCCCAAGCTTGGTTTCCTACTCATTCTGATGAATTCCATATTTGTTCTTTATCACTTTGTGCCAAAGAGAGTTAAGTTTCAAAGGAAAATGCCATAGCCATCTAACCACTAAAGGAATATATTCTTGGAAACCCAGTTCCTAGGCCTAAACCACCTTCCTTCATAGGGGCTTGCAACATACGTGCCAATTAACAAGATGACATGCCTCCTTGAATCACTTGATTACTGGTTGCCAATTTGCATAATGCAGTAATTATTGTTGTCTTTGGATGAAAATCATTTTTACTTGAGTGGGTGAGATTTTTCGTATTTTCTGCTGCATGTTAGAGTATCATGGCAATATATACTATTAACTTTCAATATATGAGAAGAATCTATCTTTGAGAAAACTAATATTGCAATATCACAGGAAAAGTACTGGGAAGAGCACCCTGGGAAAGCTGTGCCTCTCATGAGACCAAAGTTTTATTGGGGTCCGTGGAAGGTTATGAGGGGAAAGGAACCCCCAACTGAGTGAAAAGCTATAGAGGCATGTTCATGCTTTACTTTCTATTCACCTCATGTCGCTGCCATTGTTCATGATTACGGATTGCTTGGTATCAGTGAAAATTTACTGCTGCATACGTATTCTAGTGGGCAAAACCCTTTATCATATCAGAGCATGTTGTCTTTTATCATGGCTCAAGACATTCTGTAACTTTGTTCTCAATATTACTCTTCTTTTTATTTAAAAAAGAATCGATATTACTCTCTTTATCTTCAAGCTTTTGCTGTTCTTCACTATTATTATGATAGGCACTTGATGTACATGAACTTCACTAGGTAATAAGATGTGAATTTATGGGATAATTATTCGGTATTCCTTATGGATTGGTCTTATAGTCCAAGACTATGAGCTGAACTCTAGAGATCTAATCAAGGGGTCACTTTTTGCCTCCTTATAATGAGAACCATGAACTTCATTACATATGAGCTTTCACTCCCCAATATAGCTCATCACTCTACAAGTTAGTGGTGCACTACCTCACCATAGCACGAGGACACAAACGGTTATGGCTCTTTTCTTTTTCATCTTTAGAGAATATTTTTCATCTATATATATTTCTCTTTTTCAATTGAAGAGATTAATTATATCTATTACTTTTATGAGTTGTCTTCATCCATTGAAGAGATATATTGTATCTATTACTTTTATAAGTTATTACTTGCTTTCTTTGCGTATTCCTCTCTCCTTGGTTATATATATATGGGGTTTGATTTTCTCATGTTAAATGAGAATTCAATTCTCATGTTGTAGAGATAAAAAGCATGTGAGACCCATGTGTTAGAAAAAATTATATATAGGACCCATGTCAGCACGGAAATTGAAGGGTGTGTAGGAAAATTTGAATTCTCATGTTAAATGAGAATTATAAAACACAATATATATATATATATGGTGATTTTTCCAAGAGCTTTGGTGAGTATGACTGCAGCTAAGAGCATCTTTCATGTACTTAACCTATCAAAGAATACACTCACTCACCTATCAAGGGATAAACTCAATCTTATGCAATCCTCTATATGTCCTTAGTTTGGTATCCTTTAATAATGAGATTGATCTATTATCAATTGTCCGTTAATGGTTGAAAATGTTTGATTGTGTAGAAATGAATTACAAGGCATTCTTCAATTTGAATTTTCTACTATTAAAATTTTATAATTTAATTATTTATATTATCTAAATTTATATATTTTGTTTAAGGGCTCGCTTTTTCTGCAGTTACTGCAGATAACTTATCTGCAGACTGCAGTAAGTCAATACGACGTCATTTTGGGACAGAAATCATGGTATTTTAGTAATTTTAATTTATTTCAAGGTTATAATAGTCTTTATATTTATAATTTTTTAAGATTTTAATACCAAAACGATATCGTTTTGAAAATAAAAGCAGATAACCTATCTGTATTAATTGCGTAAACATTTTTTCCTTTGTTTAAAATGCTAGATAAACCCGATCCCCGCGTTAGGTAGAGTCATGAACAGGTTGACTCGGACACTTAATAGTTAGATCAAAATATTTGTACAGGTTCAGATAAACCCTCCTCTGAAAACCCCAAGATATTGATCAATACTACTTCACATATATATATAAAAAGAAAATGCTATATTGAAGAAAATAATGAATAGAAGCAAAACTCTAGTTTAGTTAAAGGGAGTTATTAATTTTATGTTGCAAGATATAGGTATTTTACGTGAGTGAAACAAAGTTGTGGAGCTTATAATTAAAAAAAAAAAAAAAAATGAGCACAGAAAAAAAAAAAAAAAATTGAGCACAGAATTTTAAGAGTGTGTAATATAAGATAGTTGTCTTACGTGACATAAGACAACTATTTTCCTTAGTTAAATGCTTAAAAAGTAGGCTTTTTTTGTTTTTGATAGACTAAAAAATTGGCTTTTTATTGTAAAACTAAAAAGTAAGTTTTAAAACATTAAATTCAATCATTATCAATTTGATATATTGATCTTAGTAAAAAGATTGACAATGATAAAATTAAAATCACAAATAGAAATTTCGAAGCTTATTTTGACAAAAGACAAAAAAAAGTTTGAAGCGTAAATAGAACAAAAAGAAAACAAACAAATCTTGATGCTCAGAAATAAAAAAATAAAAATGAATAAAACTAAAAAACAATTCAACAACCGAGCACTGTTTTTTTTTTTTTTTTTTTTGATAACAGAGCACTGTTTTTTCGAAGAAGAAGGTTTAGAAGAAAAAAAAATTAGTTTACACTTAATTTTTTTTTTTTACAGCATCAATATCAAATCAATTGACTCTCACTCGTGTGATTTTGTAATCGTTATTTAATTAATATAACTTCTCTCAAAAAAGAAATCTAAAAATGAGTTGAAATGTTTTCATCACAAATTTAATTTTTTTTTTTTTTACCTTTTCTGGTTTCTTAATTCACTCGCAAACAAAGGTCAAGAATTTAGTGATGAAAATTGACAAATAATCTTAAAAACGTTGGAAAGAGAGAAAGAGGGTGCTCAGAAAGAATAATGAATGGATGAGAATGTTATCCTCATGAAGGTTAAACATCAGATTAACGAGATTATTTCTTCTCATCATCATAGCACCGTCTCCCTCGTTTATAATTTCAATTCAACAACGAAAATGAACAAAACATATATACAGTGAAAGAAAGAGCGAAAGAAAAACAAACATTAATGGATACTATGCTTCGTCTCTGCGAGGCGACGCCGTTGCTAGGGTTTTGAAAATTTCACTTACTTGGCTTTTCATACTTCCAAATTTATAGAAACACCCATCACCTGAACGTCCTGCCGTTTTGGCTTTTTACTAGCCTTAGCCACTAAACCCCTTATGAAGTCGTCTCAGTGGAAAACACGTCGTTTAAACTGTGAGCTTTTAAAACGATGTCGTGGTCAAGTTTAAGGGTTTTATAAGAGTTATGTTGTAGGAAAAGTGATTGTGTAATGTTATAGAGATTCGTTTTGCGTGCCGTAGTTTTTTTTTTCTTTTTCTTCAAGAAGTGTGGGCCCTACAAAATGTTGTGTGTATAGGAAAGTTTGTTGTGTCATGTTAAATGACAAATGCAAACCCTAAGTTTATATACTATTTTATAAAACATTATATATATATATATATATATATATATATATATATATATATATATATATATATATATATATATATAGGGTTCCTCATTTCTGCTGTCACTGCTGATGGAAAAACTTGCAGCAAATATATTATAGTAGGATATGGAGCCGGATCCTGAAATTAACAAAAAAAAAAAAAAAAAACAGGATATGGAACCTGATCCTGGTGGAAGTAAGTGTTGCTGCCAATTTTCTGGTCTGCAGCAACTGAAGAGCTATTAAAGCGATATATATAAGTTGAGAAGTTGATAAGAATAAAGATTCATTAGGAAGTTCTGAATCTTTTGTGAAAGTTATATTTTTATTATGACAATCAATGACCACACAATTAACAGACAACCAATTCATACCAAGAATTACATCTATATCAATCATAGGCAAACAAACTAAATCTACCCCAAACTGTTTCCCTTCGAGTTGAAAAGGACAATTTCTACAGACTCGAGATGTGGGTATCTTTTCTCCAGTAGGAAGAAAGATTTCAAGATAAGAAGATAAAATAGAAATTGGTAATTTTAACTTTTGAGCAGAAGATAGGGATATGAAAGAATGAGAAGCCCCAGAATCAAAGAGTACAGTTATAAGAGAATCTTGTATTAAGCCCGTACCTTGAACCAAGTTTGAAGCTTGAGCTGCTTCCTGACCACTTAGGGTGAAAACTCTTGCTCTTGTTGTAGGTTGGTTTGATGAATTCTGACCTTGATTTTGTGGATAATTCCTCAACATATGTCCAGGCTTTCCACATTTAAAGCACACTCCTCTTCTTGCCAAGCATTCTCTAGCATGATTTTTCTTGCATTTTGGACATACCTGAATCTGGGAATTCATTCGACCCGCATTTTTCCACGCAGGCTTCTTATGATGACCACACATGTAACACAAAGGAATGGGTTGATCAGACCCACACTAAGGAATCACATATGCAATAATCGATAAGAGTTTACATACAACTATACAGCACTTAACACACTCATACAAAATTAGAGTTCCCTAGCAAAACAGCTCTGATACCATAAAATGTAACAGCTCGTTGTACACCGGTATTGTTAACATTAATTGTGATATTAAGCGCAGTTACAATCATAGCAGTTCATTTATAAAAATGCGAGTAAACTTTTTCCGTTTATTACGCGAGCATTTAAAATAATAAAAAGCGTAATAATAAAAGCTGTGACCGTAACTGTAAAATCTTTGCGGAATAATTATTTTAAATAATTTTATAACATATTTTTACATCTCTCAAGTCACTAAGGGGTTCCCATAAACTCACTTAGCTAAAATCTCACTTTTACGTTTTCTACCTATCCGAACATGGTTCGGTCTTTAATTTTCTGCGGACAAACTGCATACGACAAGTCTCCCATCTTTTAGTATGTTATTCTAGACTTAATTACCTTTTTAGGAAGCTATCACACAAGTCATAAAGTTCTCGTTTGCTCCGGATATCGCCGTTTGAATTTGGACAAGCAAATCTGCCAGCCAACCCCAAAATAGCTCCAAACATCCTTCACTCAATCAATTATTCTGGAAAATGATCTCAAACAATTGCTCTCAAATTTTTATACAACACACTAGACACCTCAAGCTTCAATTTGACATATCATACACCTAATTTTACAATGAAACGAAGCGGTAATAATTTTCCCAAACTCGGTCCAGAACTGCCACATGTGCAGTGGCAACATGGGCAGTCCGTTCTCTCTGCCTTCTACAGGACTACTCCCAACCCATAATTTCCTCAAAATTTGATACGAGATAGAGGACACCTAAAGCTTCAAAACAGCGTATGACACGTCCCTATTGGACCTCTGTGGAGGGAGATATGCTCTTCCAAAGTTCACCTAAATTCTGTCAATTTCTAGAAAATTCGCCAGAGTTTCCTTTGTTTTTCCAATAAATCCCCAATTTGCAAAAGTGTTCTCACATCCTCAAATTGTACCTAATAATCATTGGGTGGCACACACAAGGACCAGCAATGCCTTGAGACTCTTACAACCCATCACAGTTTATATTAAGTTACTCGATTTCCATCACTTTACTTATATTTTCAAACTTAACATATTTCAATCACCATAATCCATTTGCATGCATTATTTACATCATAAAACATAACTCAATCCTAGAATAGGCCAATTGCCCTTTCATCATATTATATACTTCCATATTACTTCAAGTCTTCATGTACAATTTACAAATCTTCCAAATGACATATTACAATTACAATCTTCCTTCAAATATATATAAAGTACATACTCCAAATTAAATATGATAATCAAGACTAAACTTAGGCAAAATACATCATGAACAAAATGATACTCATAATCCTAATCACATGCATTGTTCATGAGCTAAGTCTAGCCTAGGCCCAATGGTCAACAAAATACAAAATATGCAATCCTATGTCCAAATCATCCTACGGGCTTCTTGCCCGCCGCTCCAACTCCACTGCTACCTCCTGAAATAAAGCCCCCAAAGCGGGGTGAGATATACGAATATATCTCAGTAACCCCAAGGTTCTGGAGAATACTCTACTCAATGGTTCACTTTGATGTATATAAATAATACAACATAACATCTGAAAATGGGATAAAACAAGGGATTTAGTGAAGTAGGGGAGCATAGGGATACAAAATACGATGAAGATGGATTGGTCAATGCAAAAACCACGCAACGTCCAGCCTATTGGCTCGGCATATAAGCCTACGGGTTTCAAACCAAAGAGTGTTCCCAGAACATCAAACCAAGGCACCCTCCATCCATATCCACCCGAGACTTCCTAGTGTGCTCCTATCCGGATCACACACCACGACCCCAGGTCAACTGGAACTCCCTCACGGAGACCTATCCAGTGGAAGTTCGTAACGCCCGAAGGTAAACAATCTACTGGCCAGAGACACGGTACATCCTATGTACCAACACACATACAATATGCATGATCATGTTATCCTATATTATTTACATACACTTCCTACCATTACCCTTAACGGGCATGGTGGAACACACAAGGGGATCAAGCCCCAATACCAAGAGGTTACCTGAATAATCTCCTTCACTTGATCGCTCCAATTCACAGTATCACCGAGCTTGGTTCACAAGAAATGCCTACACATAGGCTATTTCCATTTCAATATCAACCAACCAAAATATATGCAAGTTCATCAATTATACATGCATAGGTTCAAGACCATTTACCACAATCCCTTTGGTCTGGGACCAAAGGCAACCCCCAAGCTCACGGTTCCGAGTTCAATTCCGTAGGAGGCAACCTTCAATGATCACACAAGTATTATCAATACAAGGTGCAATCAACAAGATTATAAAGCACCAAAATTCCCCCTCACTAGCTAGGTTCGGTCAACATAGGCCATTTTTACAAAACATTTTTCTAAATTTTATTTTAATTTTTCTTTAGCATCCTAAGGCTACCACAACACCCTTTCAAGTCTTATTTTCCATCCTACACCATCACAACACTATTTTTCCAATTATTACGTTCTAGGCTCAAATGCACATCACACACACTCCAAGTATTTTTCCTTTAATTTTCCATGCATCACTCATCACACAACTAATTCAAATACCATTTAAACATCACAACACATCAATTACATAATTTTGCATCATCCAACCCCAAATGCCCTCATTTGGCCGAAACCATCAAGATCACAAACCAAAAGGTATTCAATCCAATTTAATACTTCCATACACCTTACAATCCTATATTTAAATCATACAAACATTCCACAACTCAATTACACAATCATCCCACATAGTCATTTCATAAAGTCATGACATTTCAACACAAAATTTCCTAAGTTATCATCCAATTTTCTCAATAATTTTTATGACATCAATCACTCTAAAACATCATTCTAAGCCACAATTGTCTAATACACAATTTTAATTTGAGCTCTCTAACTACATCAATCACACAACACATGCTCTAGGTTTTGAAATTTAGAATTCATGAATCAATCATTCAAAAGCATCAAAACTTACTCACAAGCTTGGCTTAAGACTCCTCCATAACATACTAAAGCATTGGAGGATTTAAACCACTCCAAGAACACAAATCTCTTCACTTTTTCGTGGATGAAAATGGCATTTTCCTCCCAATGTAGTGAGTTTCAAGGCTTGTGGATGGTACGGTTGAGTCCGGATGGCCGTTTACTTGAAGTTTGATGACAAACTTTGTTGATTTTGATGGAGAAATGACTAAGAAACAAGCAACCCAAGTTTTTGCTCCATTTCCTTCCATGGCTGCGGGTTTGGCTGAATGTGGAGGGAGGAAGATGATGTTTTTTGATTTTGCACATGTGTGCATTGACTCACTTAAGTGAGGTGGGTCCCACTCGCCACCTCGCGCAATTCAAATTAATTCAAATCTTTCGCTTAAACCACTAAACGTTCATTAATTTCATAACCTATTTAGAAACTCTAATTTTTAACATTAACC